TATATATATGATAATTTTGCTAATAAATTTTTATGATTTGTATCATCTAAAATGACTTTCGAACTAAAAACTACTAAGTTTATTTTCATCAAGGGCATTAAAATTACTCGTGCATGAAATATCATTTACTCTATAAATGCAATAAATAAACATATAAAAATAGAATTTTTGAAAAAAATATATAAATTTCTACAAACATATTTTTTGTTATTAATGCAAATTCATAATGAAGAGTTTAATTATATTTTCAAAATACCATTGTCTACACTTCTCAAAAAAATTACTCTTACAATATATTAAATTAAAAATGAAAAACAATTATAATTGGAGATTCATGATTCTTATGCCATGAATGGCGTATATTGATCCGGTATTATGATCTTTCTTTTTCAGAGAACGTGAAGTTCACCAACTCTCATCATTAATAGTTAAGTAAAATAAATAGTTGCTACTCCAAGCTCTCACTCGACGCCACATTGTGTGAAGAATGGGGAACTCGAAAAAAGGGCGCTCCAAACTAGCACCTATGCATCGAAGCCAAGAAACAACACCCAGTCTAGCTCCTAGGCACATGAAATAGGACTCTTTTATGCCATTTGAAATTGAGGGTACGGAAAGCCGACGCTTGCACTTTGGCGCTTAGGTGCCCAACACTGACTTTGGGCAGCTTTTGACAGTTCTGTGGTCTATTAGATTGTTCGATACTTAAATACGAAGAATTGGAAAAAGTAAAGAGCTTTCAATATCAATTTTACTTAACTATTTTTGTGCTAAGGAGAGGAGAAGCCTTAGAACTGTTTAGGCAATGTGTTCTATATTTTGTGTGTGACAGGGCAAAGCCAGTTGGAGTTTCATTGTAAAAATAATAATCCTTGTAGAGCAAAGCAAGAGTCAATTAAGTTTGATAGTTCTTACTTTTGTATAAAATTGATTTTACTATTTTCAATGGAACTTCAATTATGTTCCTCACTCATGTTTAGGAGCTAGAATATTCTCTCCCTTTGATTGGAAATCTAGGAAACTTAGAGATATCAATGTTGAGTGATTTCTTAAATCATATTGGGAATGATGATTTATTAACTTTGCATACTTAATTGACTTCTAAACTGACTGTATAGAATGTTAAAATCTGTTATGATCTAGAATGATGAAAGAAGGCTAATTGAACAACTAAGTTAAAATACACTTTTCTAGGAGAATAGGAACATTTTTGTCAGGAATGTACAGTTAATAGAGAAACATCGAATCCTGAGGGTTTTTGCATGATTTAGGAGACTAAATTGTATTATAAAATCTCCAACCTTCATATGACCTTGGAAGAGGCTAAGGAATAGATCTGCACATGATTGTCAGCGATATTTGAATCACTTAGATAACTCTAGGTTTCTTAAGTCCAATTCAAGGGAGGTTCTCTCACTTGATAGAAAATCGTGCTCTCATTACTCAGTTCTTTACTTTTATAAAATTAGGATTTTAAACACTTGAAAATTCACAAAATTTTGACTATTCAAACTATACTTAGGACTAGCAAATGAGAATTTTCACTTTTAAGAGTTAACAAGTTTTCTGTGAAATTGATACACAAACACAAAAATTCGTTTACTATTTGATCGACACAGATACTTGCATGTTTAACGTTTGCTTTACTACAGT